ATAGTCAGTGAATTGACTTTGGCTAGGTTTGGCCCTGAAAAAATAGCAAACAGGGTGTTGCATTGACATTTAGTAAAATTCTACGAAATTCAGTTTTCTGCAATTTTCAATCTGTTTGGCTATTTTATCAAAGCTGCAATCACCACTAGATTATTTGCCATACGTAATTACTTCGATTTTGCCAAGACTTAGCTGGTTTAGACGGCTTCTTCATTATTTTAAAAAGACGCTTATTAATCCCTGTTCAAATTCAGTTTTTCACAATTTTAACCCTGTTTGGCTATTTTTTCAGAAACCAAACCTTCACTATATTATTCAGCATACTTGATTACATTGATTCTATCAATATTCAGCTGGTTTAGACGCCATCTTCATTATGTTTAAAAGGTCACTAATACTATGTGATATTTAAATTTTTTGGTCAATATCTCAAAAACTATGCATGCTATAAAAGAATAGATTTGATTTATGAAATCAGCATTAAATTTTGTGTCTGAAAAGTAAGATTTCAGCAAAAATCGAGAACAGGCGATTTTGCAGGTCCTCCTTGTATTTTTTTCCGAAACACCCTTTAATTTAATAACACAATTCACAAATCGATTTACGGCCATTGTTAGTACAATTATCTTCATTGCTTGTAATTCTTGTTGATGCTTAATTTTGCTAATAAAATTCATTGGTTTGGTGAAGCTACTAATTCTCGGATCATACAGTTAAGTATCAATTTGTCTTGAAAATGAATTGCGATACATAAATATTATTATGACTAAACCATGTGCTGTGTTTTGGGATATTCAAAATGTTGGAATACCAAGAGGACAATCAGGTAATTCAATCATTAGGCTGATTAGATCAATTATAACTAAACCTTACAATTTAAATGAAATATTAATAATATTTTTCCTTTGTGTCTGTGATGTTAATAAATTGCCTTCAAATGTTGGCCAGCCATTAACAAACTTGGATGTTGATATTGTTCAGGCTTATAATGGAGTTAAGGATTCCGCTGATATTAAAATAGTGGACTTGATGAGGAAATTCGTTGCCGTTGCTGGACAAGATTGTACAATTATACTGTTGAGTGGTGATGCTGATTATTATGGTACTTTGAGTGATCTAAAGAAGCTTCATAATGTATCAATTTATCTTAATGGATTAGATGATTCATACTCACTTATACTTGATCAAATATCTGAATACACATTTGTGTTGACTAGTGGTGTATTAAAGCCGATTAAATCAACCAGTGTACTTCATATCAATCAATAATTATCCTCTCACTATGGACATCAACTATGTTATGGCTTCTTTGAATAGTCAGATTACTGAAAGTGTCCAAAGTAGTGCGATCCTAATATTTGAATCAATTTGTATTGGATTCCCAGCTTTGTGGAATGCTGCAAAAGCCATTGAAAAATTCAATGGATTTCGGTTTCACGGAATGTTTCTAAAGGTTGAATTGATAGTAGACTCACCTCTAACTGAGATATTAAAACGTTTAAAGCCTAATTTGACTATTCTAAAAGAACTAAAAGAAATAAGGAAGTGAAACAACTAATGTTCATTAAGATGATCAACTCTAATGAAGTCGATCAAAATCAAATTATTAAATACTGTATCGCTTGTACTAAACAATCAGGCAGTCAATGGATTTTATCCAGAAAATCATATCTTTGGATAGTCTTTTCATTCAAATCTGATGCACAAACCCATACACTGTTGAATCATGCAAACTAAAAGTCACAGATGAAAAACGCTCAAACATAGCTGCACCGAAACCAGAAAAGGCTAGGGTAGCATTTCCACGAAACCAAAGCTCCAGTAGCACCAGTTGAGCTGATGTCAAACCTAAAGAAGTAAACGAATCAGTAACCTTAGAAAAATCAACGAAAACAGAGTCTAACATTGCTAGCAGCCTTGATAGTTGCGATGATAACGATTGGAAGATTTTCTTTCGATTTAATTCTAATTGTGTTACTCTTGTGCTACATTACCAATCAACCAAATGGTCGCTGCTTTATAATCTGTTTGAGGAACTATATGATTTGGGGGCGAAAAAGGTTATATGTGATGGGAATATTTACTGTGCTCATTTCGATTCTGCTTCTGCTTATCAAGATGCTCTCGCCCGAATGCGTTCACTTTATTTCGAACCTTTACAATTCGTCCCCTTTTCAAAAATTCCCAACCAACAAGAAGTTAAAAAGAAAATGAATCGATATAAACATGGTATTCCTTGGTGTTTAAGCACAGAACTTGACATACACTGTCTTGTGGTAAAAATTTTGTCTAAATAAAGCTATTTATGAAATGCATTACGAAAGCCTTGCACTATGCATGAGAACCTTTAAACTCGAGAATCTTTAGCTTAAAATCAAAATTGATCCTGTAATAGAAAATGTAGATTTACAAAATTCATCACACAAGCTAATTCATCTCGAGTCAATTCATTAATTGAATCAGAATAATAGTAACTCAAAAAACTTCCAAAAGTGACTTTTTACGATCTGAACATAAATAGTGAATAGTGATGTTGACTTACTTATTCATACTTATCGTTTAAAAATGACAAACTGATTGGGTTAAATATTCCTCTTTTGTAAGTTGGTAACTAATTGATAACTCACTAAGGTAGAGTTTCACTTAGCAGATATAATTTGTTTCAAGTTTTCTTATCAACCAGAATCCCGATGCTGAAACTCACCAATCAAATTACGCTCTTTTATCATATTCACGAACGAGGGAAAGGTTCAGTGATTCAATAATTACAGAGTCTGTAAAAATTTTTAGAGTTGGAAAAAACTTGTCCACAGTTCATGGGTTGGTTCAATGTTAACGTCATTTTGCTGCTCTTTGTAACACTTCTTTCACGGACTTTATATACTGTACATTAAAGTTTACAACGAAAAAGCGTTTACACGCTTTTCCGAGTGTCTGTACTTTTCAAGTGCTGGCATCTATGTGAACTAAATTACAATTACAATTTTCAATTTTCAACAATTAGTCAAATCTAGTGTTTTTCCCGGTAAATAAGATTGTAGCAACCAAAGCTTAAATTGCCTTAACAGTGGTAGGAACATCTGTAAAACTAAAAGGTTATTTTTCCAGTTTAGCCTTCTTCTTTCATAAGTCACAATTAAAACAGTATATTTTTATGAGCCAAAATAGCTGTAATGGCTAAACCTTGTGCTGTTTTTTGGAATATTGACAATATCGATGTACCAAAAGGACAATCAGTTGATTCTGTTGTGAGCCTGATTCGATCAACTATAATTAAACCTTACAATTTAAATGAAATCTTTTTCTTTTGTGTCTGTGATGCTCATAAATTACCTTCAAATGTTGACCATTCAATGACAAATCTGGATTTTCAAACTTACAATGGACTCAAGGATTCAGCTGATAATAAAATGTTGGAATTGATGAGAAAATTCGTTCAATTTTCTGGACAAGATTGTACAATTATATTATTAGGTGGTGATGCTGGATATTATGATGATTTGAGTGATCTAAAGAAGCTTCATAATATATCAATTTATCTTATTGGATTAGATGATTCATACTCACTTATACTTGATGAAATATCTGACTACACATTCAAGTTGAATGATGGTGTGTTAGAGCCAGTTAAATCAACTGTTGCACCAATGTATTTTATATCGGTCACGAACTATTCTGTAAACAACATCAAACAAGTGATGACTGATTTGAATAATCTTTATATTGGAAGCAGTGCCATTCTCTACGATTGTTCAATTTGCATCGGATTCGCTACTTTGTTCAATGCTATTAAACCCATTAAACAATTAAATGGAGCTGGGTATTATGACACCATTTTAAAGGCTGAATTTATATTAGACTCACCTCTAATTGAAATACTAAAATCTATAAAGCCTACTGTGGATATGCAGACAATAAGCAAGGAGGAAGTGAAAAAATTAACATTCATCAAGATGAACATCTCAAATGAAGCCGATGATAGCAAAATTAAGTTTTGCATCGCGTGTTCTGAACAATCAGGGAGTCAATGTATACTATCAATGAAACCATATCTTTGGATTGTCTTCTCCTTTGAATCTCATGCACAAAAGTTTTTACCAAAAGTTAAAATAATTTATCCAGATGCAGTCATATCTGAACCACCGATTGACCTGACATTAAAACTTGACGAAAATACATACTCCGTTGAATCATTCGACGTAATAGACACAAACAGAGAGCCTTCTAGTGTGGTCACTCTTCAGGCTTGTGATGATATTGATTGGAATATATTCTTTCGATTCAATTGTGATTTTATTGCTCCTATGCCATATTACGAGCCAACTAAATGGTCGCTACTTTATAATCTGTTTGAGAAAATTTACGATTTGGGGGCGAAAAAAGTTATCTTTGATGGAAATCTTTATTGTGCTCATTTCGATTCCGCTTCTGCTTATCAAGATGCTCTCGCCCAAATGCGTTCACTTTATTTAGAGCCTTTAGAATATGTGTTAGTACCAGAAACACAGAAATTGAAAGCTGCAAAGAAAATGACTCGATATCCTGGAATTCCTTGGTGTTTAAATGAACAACTTGACTTATCTTGTCTTGTGATAAAAATTGAATCTCAGTTGCACAACCATTTCGTAGATATCGGCAAAAATATTTTAGGAAATCGTGAATGCATTTTCATTAAATCCATCTCAGGAGAGATTTGGATTGGTTTTCCTGATGAACATTTGTGTGAGAATTCTGAGAAAACAGTAAAAAGATTTTTAGCAACTCTCGAGCAAAAAAATGATGTCTCAATGGCTAAGCCTTCAAATGAACTTTTAGAGTCCATCAATTTTCGAGATTTAGCTGGTGATGCTTATGATTTAGCATTTCTTTCGAGCCAATTAGAAGGTTCGAAGCCAATCAAAAGACCAAACATCATAGAACGAATAAGACTGCAACGAATGCAAGAACAAGAATGCAATGAATCGGTTTTCTACTTTGTTGTTTGTGGGAAATTCGATAGTCTGAATTCTTTTCCCGGATTAGCGGTCGAACAAACCGTAAAAATGGTTGTAAAGTTTAGCAAAGTTATTCCACTTGCTGTAACAGTATTTATGCCTGAATACGTCAATTTAATGTATAATTCATGGCATGAAGCACACGTTGCTCAACATTTCATTAAAAAGTTGACAGCTGCTGAAGTTCCCTATTTTAGGGAGTTTCGTGTAACAAGTATTGTCCAACAGCAACCGTTTGTGTATTTTAACTACTCTGAGTATTACATCATCAACGATAAACGAAAGGTTCTCGAGAAGATTGTTCAAAGCAAAAATCAAGCGGAAAAACTAGATTCAAATTCATCTTCGTTTCAATCGATTGTAAAACAACTGCAATACTTATACATTATAAAAACCAATTCTGATTTTGATTTTACTTCTGGAATGATTTCAATAACCAAATTGAATTTGATACAAATGGACTGTCCAGTTTGCATTGAATTTGATGATAAAATTTGGGTCGCAGTTGATGAGCTAGAGAAAGGAAAAAAAGCAAAAGCTAGAATTGACCAGATTAAGTTCAAAATGTTACATGAATATGAAGATGATTTTCAAGTTGAAGTTGTAATGGAGTCCATTCAAACAAGTCCAACCAAAGTTGCTAGCATGTTAGCAGATAAATTTATGAATCCAAAAAAGAACACTAGAAATATATGTTTGAATTCTGACCCTTTTCCACTCGGCCACTTCAACTATAGTTACAGAAAAGCAGTTGGAATGTCCACCAGTCGATATTGTCAGTTAAATGTATAAATTTTATTAAAATTATATTGAAAAGAATAAATTTTTTCAAATTTTTCAGATTCTTTAATTAGTTGATTTAGTTTATAAGGAGTTTTGGGTTTTATGGAGCGCCATTAAGCAATTACTAAATTGTAACTACGAAAGTCTTTAACATCGAGAGAAGGTATTCCGCGAACAAACATATCGGACTCATTCACCTGTAAGCACTACATTAGTGTAGTTGATATTTGAGTTGCTCAAACTACACAATAAGTAGCTCAATTGATAATACTCGTATGGTCAAGCTCAATAAACAATAAAAGTGTCAATTTTTGTTAGGTTAACCTTTGCAAGTCTCATCAATCCAAACTCAATCCATTTTATGTAACTTTTCATCCACTAATCCTCATTAAAGAAACTTTCATTGTTTTGTATGAAAAAGCAATTAGACTAGAATTTACCGACAATTAATAAATATAATCAAAAAAGCAGTTTGAATATGAATCAATGAAT